TTGGGATTTTGGGCATGTATGCACATGTGCCTGGTGTGATTTTCAAGCTACCGGGTCTGGGACCTGAACTGCAAAATCAATCATGTGGGATCCAGCCAGCTTAATTTCCAAGCCACCTGCTGGCCCACTGCAATACATTTTTAAAAAGTATTATATAACCACAATACTGTGGTGAATGTGCCCATCAAACTTGTGTTGGAAACTTAACCCCCAATGCAAGTGTTATGAAGTGGGACCTTTAAAAGGGGGTTAGGTCATGAGGGATCTGGCCTCATGCGTAGATCAATGTTCTTACTGTGGAAGTGAATTTGTTATCTTGGGAGTAAGTTTCTGAAAAAGAATGAGTTTGGTCCCCTTCCTTCTTATCTCCCACCCATACTCTGTACTATTGCCTTTCTGCCTTCTGTTAGATATGAGCCTCTTGACCTTGGACTTTCCAGTCTCCAGAACTGTGAGAAATAAATCTCTTTTCTTTATAAATTAGCAGGTTTCAGGTATTCTGTTCTAGCAACATAAAGTGGACTATCACGCATCACCACAATTGCCTTCATGAAACATGTCTTGACTGGAATGGAGCCTTTTCCCCTGCTACGTGTGAAGCCAATGGTTGAATCCTGAATGACTGACACGTCTGGATACATTCCTGATGGTCCCAACTTACTGAAGAGTTAGGGTGGCACACTGGGGTCAGAAGGAGAGAAGAGAAAGAGATGGCCTCTTTAGGTGAATAGCCTACAATTGCTCAGGCTGAAGCCATTACCACCTGAGAGAACGTCTGGGAAAATGCTTAGTGACTGTAAAATGCTTTTCCGGTTCTCATCATCGTTATTATTATTGACACCCCCAGAAGATGTGTGCCCTGAAAGAAGAAAATGAGGGCAGGCCCTGTAGGCTAAGGCACTGAACGCAATGATGTAGAATAAATCTTCGTCTGGGCCTCAGGAAGACCCCACCATAAAAAGGAAACAAAACAAAACAAAACAAGAAAAAACCCAAGATAGATGGTGAGTAAACCTCATTAAACTTCTATTGGCTATATTTTGAAATGACTCTTTAAAGAAATATAAAGTTAGATTGCTGAATTGTGCCGAACGGTTTCCTAAAGCCAGTGTTTTTATAAGAACAGACCACTTGAGTCAGAGTTACTTGTGGGACTTATTAAAAAAAACAAACAAACAAACAAACAAACACCATCCAGAGTTCTGGCTCGGACATACTTGATCAGGATTTCTGGGGATAGAACTTGGGGATCTGTGTCGCTGATAGAAACCCTGGTGATTCCTATGCACTGACAGACACAGCAGATCGGGGCCAGCCTAAGTGCATTCATTAGAAAGCCTGCGGCTGACACCACTTCTTAGGTGGCCACTATTATTTTATTTTTAAATTTTTTGCGAGGGGAGAAGTGCTTTTTTGTTTGTTTGTTTTTTTCTCGTATAGGGTACATGCGCTCGCCAGAAAGACAGAGAGAGACAGAGAGACAGAAAGCGAGAAATCACCCCCCAGGGACGATGGCCATGCAGCGATCCCTTCTCCTCCATTCTCCTCTTGGGATTTTGGGCACGTACACACAGGTGCCCGGTATGAATTTCAAGCTGCTGGTCCAGGACTTGAATCGTGGTCAGCCATATGGGAGTCCAGTGCCTTAACCACTATGTCATCTGCTGGCCCCAAGCCTCTGCTTTAATGCTCTTCAGAGGGACCCAGTCAATTGGAAGGAAACATGACTCTTTTTTCAGTTGCCAGTGGGCTCCAATCTGGACCAGGTCTCAGCACGTCCTGAGATTTGATTCTGCTCCTCCTCCCTGCAATCACCTCTTGAACTGCTTGAAGACCATGTTGGAGCCTTGCCAGTAGGTGTTTCCCTCACCACCAGGTTCCACTGCAGCCTTACGATGTGGGTTCTAGACTCCCATCTAAAGTCCTGCCCATCTTCACGTGTTTCCTGGCACCGTGGCATGCCCCCAAGACTGAGAGACCAACCTGCGAGAATACTTAGACTTTATTCCCAATAATAAGCCAAGCGTTCAGAGAGCTCATTGGATAGCGTGAGCTCTTAGACAGCCACGTTAATTCAGTGTGTGCTTTCCGAGCCTTTACCATGTGCAGAACATGAAGAAGGTCATGGTACATATCAGGGACCAACAAGGACCAGTTCAAGAGGACGAGGTCTGAGGCGCCCATTTCAGAATGTAGGTGTACGGGTTTAAGATGCCTGGCTCCCACCTCAGTCCCTTTTTTTTTTTTTTTGGAGAAATTTTCACTGTAGGGCGAGTGCGCTCGCCAGACAGACAGAGAGAGACATAGAGACAGAAAGCGAGAAATCATCCCCCAGCGGGGATGGCCACGCCGCAATCCCTTCTCCTCCATTCTCCTCTCGGGATCTTGGGCACGCACGCACACGCGCCCGGCGTGAGTTTTAAGCCACTGGGTCCGGGACGCGAACCGCGGTCAACTACGTGGGAGTCCAGCGACATAGCCATTACGCTAATTGCTGGTTCCCCCACCTCAGCCCTTTTGACCCTAGCGGAAGGCACTGCCTATATTCGCCTCATACTGACCAGAGTCCTAGGATTAAGGATGCTGGTTCCCCAGGGCACGTTGAATGCTAAACCATGCTGGTACGTTTCTTCCCCGAGTCACGCTAGCATCCACTGCAGACAGCATTCCGTAGCTGCCTAAGTGACATTAGAAACATCGGGCAGGGGGTTATCTTCCATGCATTTTAAGAGGTATGTATTAACCTACGGGTATGTGATCTAATTAGTGTGCTCTCAAGGACTCCTTAGTTTCTTTTTTAATTTCTTTTTCCGGAGAGGTTTTTGCTATTGGGCGCAGGCGCTCGCCAGAAAGACAGAGACGGAGAGACAGAGAGTGAGAAATCACCCCTCCTCCCCCAGGAGGATGGCCATGCCTCAGTCCCTTCTCCTCCGTTCTCCTCTCGGGATCTTGGGCATGCACGCACACGCACCTGGCATGAGTTTAAGCCACCAGGTCTGGGACTTGAACCACAGTCAACTATATGGGAGTCCAGTGACATAGCCATTATGGTGGTCCTCAGGACTCCTTAGTTTCTACGCTACAGTTCCTGGGTGTCTAAATTTTTGGTCCTTTTAATACTACTTAACATTCTGTTCTTCTTTATGCCATTTAAATGATTTCCTACGATTGTTTCTTTCAAATACAGAGGGTATTATTGCATGCATGTTGTATTGCTGCTGTATATTAAAAAGTACTCAGAATGAAATGTGGTATATTGTTTTAGTTAAGTCCTAAGTATTTTATCCCGTTTTGTCTTCATGCATTTGAGCTGCTGTAACAACGTCCCTTGGCCTGAGGAACTCACAAACACCATCAATGTACTTACTATTCTAGAGCCTGGGAATGTCAAGGTCAGGTTGCTGCGAGCTTCGGTGGTTGGTGAGGGCTTCCTCTTGCCTCCTCCATGGTGCCTTGCTGCAGAATGCTCACCTGCGAAATGGGCAAATGAGCTCTCTGCGGCATCTTTTATAAGGACAGCCATCCCTTGTAAGAGGGCTTCACTTTCATGACCTAAATGCCCCCAAAGCCCCATTTATGATTTTTTTTAAGAATAATTGTTTATTTATTTTAATTTGCTATAGGGCATTCATGCTCACCAGAGAGACAGAGAGAGAGAGGGAGAAAGTGAGAAAGCAAGCCACCAGGCCTGGGGCTCAAGCCACAGCCAGCCATGTGGGAGTCCAGCACTTCAACCTGTTGACCCTTAAAGCCCCATCACATTGGAGACTAGGTTTAACCATGGATTTTGAGGAGACACCAACATTCGGACCATCGTATCTGTCTACCTGTCATGTCCAGGTTCAAATACACACGCACGAACCCGTGTATACACAGACACATATGTCCGAATTGGGGAGGAATTCAGGACCAGTAGATGGCATGATGGTTATGTCACTGGACTCCCACATAGTCAACCATAGTTTGAATCCTGGACCCAGTAGTTTTTAAAAACTCTTGCCAGGCGTATTTGCGTGCATACCCAAAATCCCGAGAGGAGAATGGAGGAGAAGGAGTTGTGGCATGAGCATCCCTCTGGGGGGTGATTTCTAACTTTCTCTCAGTCTCTCTCTGTCTCTCTGGTGAGTGCACGAGCCCTATAGTAAAAACCTCTAAAAAAAAAAAAAAGTTGGGAGGAATTCAAACAGTTCATGGAAAATGAGTATTCTGAAAAATCTGTCATGGGTTTTATTTTTTTTACACTATAATAAACTTGTATTTTAATTCCATTTTTCCATGAACTTTCTGAAGTCCCGCTAGGACACACACCTATATTATGTTTAGAGTAAAACTCACACACGTATATGTACATCAAAATACACACCTGCATGATAATCCCTGGGGTAACACTACAAGGACTTTAATCATTGCTTGATGTATAAATATATTAAACGACTACATTCATTCCTGGGAATCTGGGTCTTTCCTGTGTTGGCAGTAATGAAACTTAGAGGACTCTTCAGTTTAAGAAATCCAATGGTCCTAGCGACCGTGAAGACCTATTTGTGAGGACTGAACTGTCAGGCAATGTTGAAGAAAGCGTTAGTGAAATGCTTGCTCCTGTCTTCATGATTCCAGTTGTGTTCTGTTGGGGTGGGCAGTGGGCGATGGGGGAGAGAGAATAAAGGCTCTTCACGGAGCAGCTCGGGGTCATCTCTGTGCAGTGTGACCATCCATGACAGGCCATGCTTTGGAACACAGAAGAAGTAGTCCCAGGGCTCTCTTACTGGACCAGTCCCATCTTTGCTGATAAATATGGCACGTCCGTATGGACGCTGCTGAGCTGGCAAGTCAAGGCAAGCATAGGGCACTTGCTTTGCCCAGTTCAGGATACGAGGGTCCCCCTCTTGGGGCTACAGCGAGGGTGCAGGGGACAGAGCCTGGCAAGCAGGAGCTCTGGGGAGGCGGAGCTCCAAAGACCCTGTGGCCTGGGTACAGGGCCTCTGCGATGATGGGCTTCTGGGTGTTTTCCTCCCTTGTATTCAAATCTGGTAACAATGGGCCTTCGTCCTGGGAGGGGCCTGAGGGTGCACCCTCAGATCCCAGCATCTGAGCCCATTGGAGAGGCAGACAGCTCCTTGGCTGCACGTCTGGACCATGGACAGGGACTCGAGCGAGGAGGACAGTAAGTAGATGGTGTGGCTACCCTGTAGCAGCGCTGCGGGGCCTCAATCGGCCCTAAGTGCGGTCTCAGATCTGGTCTGTCTCGCTGAGAGCATCCCTCCCTTCCTTCCTCTCGTGCGGACAGCAGGTTGGCAGCCTTTTTCCACTAGGAGCCCCTGGACAATGGAGAAGGAAGGTCAAGATGAAGCCGAGAGCTTTCCCCAGCCTCTGTAACCCTGCCCGAGTCTTAGATTCTGTTTCTTTTTCCCCTCCAGTCAGGAGTTTTCCCATCTCTGGCCAAATATAAGGGCCAGACATCAGGGTTTTTATTTCGGTCACGGTTGGGTTCGGTTCTTAGATGAAGCTGACTTCACAGAAAGTTGTCAGAAGTCTTTACTCGAGATTTTCCTCTAGCAAAGAGCTCGCTCATTCACTGCGGCTCGTGTAACAGCCCGGGTGACCCCTTCCCACCATCCGTGGGACGCAAATACAAAGGAATTCAAGAGTTATTTAAAACCATGAAGAAGGAAATGGCATTGTAGGAAGGAATGTGCTATGTTTAGAGAAAAGGAACTCGGGATCCTAAATTTGGAATGGGCAATGTCGTGGGGTAGAAAGAGTATCAGCCTGGGAATTGGAGGGCTGGGGTTCAAGTCCTGGCTCTGCTCTAAATTGGCTGTGTGATCTTGGGCTAGTCACCCAACCTCTCGGAGGCTCAGTTTCCCCAACTATAAAAGGAGATTGGGTCTAAAGGTCTTAATTTGAAGACCATGAGGATGTGGGCCAAATGTCACATGAATGCAATTGCGGGGGGCAGGTATGTGGACAGCTGTCACCTGAGTTCTAGAAGGGCCAGTGACACTAGCTCATCTTCACAGTCACCTAGCTTGGTGCCCTGAAGGACCTTTGCAGGTTCAACACTAGTTGTCTTTAATGGCGGTATCTTATAGCTCTTAGTTTCAGAACCAAAGCAGAATGTAAAATTCATCTATGATAATCTTAGAGCTCAACTTAAAGTTTCATAGAATTCTTTTTTTTGATATTGAAGTGGGAGACACTGTAGGTATTTTAGCAAATATTTGAGGAGAATCTAATCTGATCTCTGCTGTACTGGAAACTATGTATCCCTCGTCTCGTTCTAGTAAGCTTCTGCTAACACGGTGATTTCTTTCTCCCTGAGACACTGCTCATTGGCAGACTCGCAGTTTTTCATTGGATTTCTCTTAGCAGCGAGGGGCTAGATGGAATTTGGATTCAAATACCAGCTCTGCCTCCGAGTTGCTGGTGGCTCTGTTCAAGTCGCTTAACCTCTCTGAGTTTTACTTCCGCTAGTTAAAAAAAGGGACAAGGTCATTTTGCAGGACTGGTCGAGGATTCACTGGAAATAAAGTACCTAATACACCACCCAGCCCAGAGCAGGCATGGGGTACAAATTGACTTTAGGGAACGATCAGATCATGTCCCCAGAGCTTTAGAAGTAAACCTCTCTTAGCGGAATATAGTGTCACCTGGGAGTTTCTGTTTTAGCCTAATGCCTTTGGATAAGCGAGGAGAGAGCAGGGTGAATGCTCTTGTTCCCTTAAGATTCTAAAACCCTGATTCGTCATCCGGCCACCCTGTATGCTGACGGTGGAACTCCCATCAGCACTTAGGATGTGTCACAAGGTATGGAATCACCCAGTCTCTAGAAAGCTAGTTGACGGTCCAGCCACGATGGCGTCGGCAGTAGGGGGCGCTGCTACACGATGCTGGAGTCGCCAGGGAAGGCTGCGAGTCCACGTTGAGCGTCTACCGCGGGTGCGTCCATGAGCCTGGCTGGTAAGGGCTTGGGGGGAGGGGGAGGATTGTGGCGTGAAGACCCTACTGCAGGTGCCTCTCTCTGTCTCTCAGGGAAAACAAGTTAAAAACAAAATAGGTCGGTGAAACGTTCGCGGTGATAGATAACGCTAACTACCCGGATTTGATCATTATACCTTGTATATGTATTGAAATATCACCCGGCCACCCATACATATGTAAAATACCATGGCTCAATTAAGATAAAGATAACAGAAATTAGGTGATGACATCTGAAACTAGGTAAGCTTTTCTCAGGTGTCAGAAAGGGCACCTGCTCTGGGACGTTCATGACCTAAATGCACTTTTTAGGAGACAGCGGCTGCCTTTGTCACCTGAGAGCAACCCTCCCCTCCGCTGAAGTGTTGACCCCTCGGTTGACAGGTCTGTAATGTGGGCAGCTTCAGAGAAAGAAAACTCTCTCAGTGACCCTGTTGGGACCAACGTAGGCATAGATGGGGACACTTACCCCATGGTGCAGGTCAGCCTGAAGATCTGTTAGCTGCGCCAGCGTCAGCTGCCGAGAACCTGGCAGCATTCCAACGGGGCGGCGCCCCCCACCATCGGCTCGGCCACTTCTAGTGAAGGGCTGGTCCCCTCTGTGCTGAGATGGTCCAGAATTCTTCCTTGTGTGAGTTGATATCACTCTGTCTGGGCTGCCTACCCTTCAGTCTTCATTCCAGTTCCCCGGGCCACTCTCAATGTTTCTGTTCCTTGTTCAAAATAATAGCCCATCAAAGCCTTTCCTTCTGTAGCTTACCCAGCTCCCATTTCTTCCACGACCCTAGATGCAACGTGGTTGTAGTCACTCTTTTCTTAAGGTACAATGTCCTAGCACAGCACAGAAGAGGAAAATTCCCCTCCCTCATTCTCCACACCATATCTTTTATAACATAACTTCTATTACTGCAGGCTGAAACCTCTTTCAGAGCTGTACCTATTGATAGAACCCCCAGGAATTTCAAGGGGGCCTTTCTAGTACAGGGCCATAGGACCTTAGATGGACCTCCTTATTTGTGGGCATTGATGCCTGAGTAGGGGGGGCAGGGCTGAGTTCATGAGTGAGAGCTCCAATCCAAGGCCACTTTGCTACCTTCACTAATGACCCAGAGCTGAGCAGTTGGGGTTCTCCCCTGGGAACTGAGGCCAGCTCTGCTCCCAAAGGCTTATTCATTGAAACGCCCATCTCCCACTCCCAAGCTCTGTGTTGGAGATTCAAGACTAGATTTGCGGTTCTCATGGTCTATCAGTGGGAAAAGGTGCTGAGCTCCTTGGCAGGGGCCCTGCTACCAGGAGTGTGGGGGCTGCTAGGGAAAGGGGGACCTCCGTGTTTGTCAGTCAGACCCGCTCTGGTCCACCATCTCATTCGTTCCTCTTGGTGACCGCACTCCCTGACGCCTTTCCCCTAAAGGGAAAGGAAATCGAGGTCCTAAAACATGAGGTGATTTCCCTTCTCCAAGGCTGCACGGAGCTGGGGCGTTCTGCTGTGCTGATGACCGGGGGGATGAGGATGAACAAAACGTCTACCTTTCTTTGGAGGGCTCAACGTCTGGGCTGCGGAGAGGGGGCGGGGAGTAGACTTTTTACAAGTTTTTCTTTTTCTTTTTCTTTCAATGCCAATGAACTCATCCTGTGTTTAATTACTCCGTAAAGCTATTAGGCAAAAGCAACAATAGGGCGCGAGGCAGAGCACTAAGGGGAACAGAGAAGAGAACCCCGCCCAGGCAGGCTTGGAGACCGAGATTACATGGGGTGCCCTGAGCAGGAGAAATGGCATCTGTGTGTGTGCATGTGTGCATGTGTGTGTGTGTGCGTGTGTGTAAACACACCTATCAGTGTCCTGCCACCTCTGAAGGCAGCAGCAGCCCTTGGCCCAGTTCCCACACAGTCCTGTCTTGGTTTGATGGCAAAGTCTACAAAGCATGCACGTCATGTCCCAGATCATCAAAGAACAATTGCAAATAACAACCGCAAATAATCGAAAGCAAACATTGCAGTATTTGCTGTGGCACAGCAGGGGGCCTGCATGACTCAAAGCAACACTTTTCCCGGTCCTTTCCCCCCTTCTCTCCGAGTTTGTTTGCTTTGTGTTTGTTTGGTAGGGTCTCTCTGCATTACCCTCTGTCTGCCCGGTCTCCCAGCTGGTGACGATAGCAGGTGGCACCACTGTCATTTTAGGGCGGTCTTAGAACCCAGCCCAGGCTCCCTTGCAGCCCCTGCCTGAAGCAGAGGTGCCTTCCCGCTTGCCTCGCCACACTGGGCCTTCCTCCCTTCCTCTCCATGTTGGTCTAACCACATGGTGGGCATTTGCTCCCCAAATATTTTCTCGGTGGCTCCTACCCCAAAGCCCCCATGCATCTCTCTCCAGACTCAAGCAGGCTTATCAATCTCGCCTTCCCCCTTTCTGCTCCATCCTGGATCCCACTGCCTCCCTCTCCTCCTGATAGATTCCTTCTTTTGTCCCATCCTGGGCTGGACTTTGTGGGGCATCTTTCCTCCTGTTATGTGGGCAAACAAGAGTCTTTTCTTCCCGTCTAATGGGTAAGGGCCAGGGAATGTAGGACCTGACCTGCTCCTGCTACATTCAAGAGCTGTAAGTAGCAAGGAGCCATTACAGGTGAGAGGATAACACAGTCAGTTTCCGAGCCTTACAAAACAGTCCTTTAAATAGCATGGACAGGGACCAGCAGTTAGCATAATGGCTATGTCGCTGGACTCCCATGTAGTCGACTGCGGTTTGCATCCCGGACCCGGTGGCTTAAAACTCACACCAGGCGTGTGTGCGTGCGTGCCCAAGATCCCGAGAGGAGAATGGAGGAGAAGGGATTGTGGCATGGCCATCTCCCCTGGGGGGGTGATTTCTCACTTTCTGTCTCTCTGTCTCTCTCTTTTGGGTGAGCACATGTGCCCTATAGCAAAAACCTCTCCAAAAAAAAAAAAAAAAGGAAAAAAAAGAAAGTAAATAAATAAATAAATAGCATGGCCAGTTATTCATTTGTTTGCTTTGCTTAGCAAGAAGGAATTTTTTTCTTTCCTTTATCTTATAATAACCTGAATCTCCTTCTCAAGTTATTTTATTTTTTGATTTTTGACATAGAGTACATGCGCTTGATGGAGAGAGACAGAGAGACAGAAAGAGACTGAGAAGTCTCCCACACACACACCAAAGGAGATGGCCATGCCACAATCCCATCTCCTCCATTCTCTTTCTGGGATTTTGGGCATGCACACACCTGTGCCCAGCCTGAGTTTCAAGCCACCGGATCCAGGACTCAAACTGCATTCAGCCATGTGGGAGTCTAACACCAAAACCATATGCCAAGTTATTTTTCTTTGTGACAAAATACCCATAACAGAACATCTGCCATCTTAACTTGTAAGTGTACCATTTGGTGACATTAAGTGTGTTCATGCTCTTGTGCAGCCACTACCACCCTCCATCCCCAGGATGCTTTTCATCTTGCAAAGCTGAAGCTCTGCCCAGTAGAAATGATTGCCCAGTCCCCCTGCTCCCCAGTCCCTGGAAACCACCATTCGACCCTCGTCTCTGTGAGTCTGGCCACCTGAATCTCTCTGGTGACATCGTTGGTATGACTGAAACCACAAGGCCTGTGTGCACTCCGAGGTGTGCCCATCCCATCAAGTGCACAGGTGCACAAGCACTGAGCCCTTGCTGTGCGTGCCCCAGGCCCACTTCCTGTTCAGATATGCGGCATCTTCTGGTTGGGTATCTCGCACTGCTGAAGAAGACAAGCTATGGGAGTGAGACGGTAGTAGGGAGACATGTGGACACGCGGTCAGTGCTTTTAAGCTGATTAAGCTGGAATCAGGGTGAAGGACATGGATTCCTTTTATCGTCTGATGTAGAGGGAAAGGCATTTTAAAAAGAAGAGTGAGAAGGTTATTCATTAACTGCATCTTTCTCCACGAGGAAAATGCCTTTCTGTGCAAAGAAAAAGAATTTGTGTCTGGTGAGCAGAAATGCCATGGCGACTCTCTTTGCAAAGTTTTCTCAACCTGGAGCTGTGTGTGTGGATTCAAGGGGTGTTCAGCTACATGGAAAGGGCATCGGGCTTGGGGCTGGGATCTGAGTTTTTAATTTTTTCATTTTTTTTAAAAAGTTTTTTGCCATAGGGATTGTGTGCTCACTGGGGAGAGTGAGAGAGACAGAGACAGTGAGAGGGAAATGAGAAATCACCCCAGCAATCCCTTCCTCATTCTCCTCATGGGATCTCAGGTGCATATACACATGTACCTGGTGTGATTTTCAAGCCACTAGGTCCGGGACACAAACTGCAGTGAGCCAGTTAGAGTCCAGTGACGTAACCGCTACACCATCTGCTGGCCCCTAAGTTTTTGGGGTTTTTTTGAGAGAGATTTTTGGTATAAGGCACATGCACTTGCCAGAGAGACAGAGAGACAGAAAGCAAGAAATCACCCTCCAGGGGTGATGGCCATGCCGCAATCCCTTCTCCTCCCTTCTCCTCTTGAAACTTTGGGTGTGCACGCACGTGCGTCTGGTGTGAGTTTAAGCCACTGGGTCTGAGACTCGAACCACAGTAAACTATGTGGGAGTCCAGCAATGTAAGCATTATGCCATCTGCTGGTCCCCAGTATATTTTTCTCTCTGTGATGAACACATGAGCTAGTTTCGCCCAGATCATATCTCTGAGCCTCGCTTTATTCCTTGAAATGGGGAAGACGAGTTACCACGAAGTGCCACGGAGATGGTGCCCTCAACGTCCCTGTGTGAGCCTCAGGACTCACTGTGTGTGTTAGGGCGGGGTGGCCCAGCTGGACAGCCGTCCTGAAGTTCAGGCCCAGCACCATGGGAACGGTGACGCAGCCAGTAGCCCCGTGAGTGCTCCACACTGGGTGTCACACAATGCCCAGTGACGTCTCCACTTCTGTTGTGTCCCGTCATGCACGGGAAATGACGCATCCTCCTGGAGTCTGGTCTGGAGGTTTTTATTTTTGCACCTAGCATAGGGGTTAGATGAATTTAGCTCTGACAGACTGCGACTGCCCCGAGAGGTCAGGGCGGCTCCTGGCTGATGGATAGAGCTGGGAGTCTCCCACCTCTCATTCTTGCCCTCTTCCTGCCCCTGTTGTTTGGTTTCCCGCAGGACATTGCCGCCACATGCATTTGCCTGTCCTCCCGCCCAGGGGGAGTATTGATTGATGGATGCTCCAGCATAGCCAAGACCTGTGGGTGGGCGGCGTCGGCCCCAGGGGAGAGGGCTGTAATGGTTTTCCTTTCTGTGCTTGACATTTTCACTGTTGTCTCCTGACTAAAAGAAGCACAAAGGAAGAGGAAGACCCCCTCCTCCCCTCGGGTTCACGGCATTGACCGTGCCTTTATTAAATGCCGGGCTGGCAACTCCGGACTGCGTGCCCTTGTCTCCTTTTACGGGAGCTCCATTTCACAGACAGAGCTGAGTTCTGCCAGGATGGGTGCCCTGCACAGTGATATGCCTTTCATGGGAGAGAGCTTGGTCCCTGGGTGACATGCCAGCCATGTTCTTAACCACTCTACCTCTGGGATTCTGACTCCGGTCTCACCAGCTGCAATCCAGCCCTGACCCAGATCTTCCACCCTGAGAACCGGGATCACAGGAACCATAGTGGGTGCACACGGGCCCTGGCCCCAGAAAAATCTCAGGCCTCAGTCTGTGCTTCCTGACCCCCTTTGAACCCTTCCTTGGAGGTGAATGTCTATGCCAAGGGTGGGCAAAATATGGCTCAGGGGCCAACTCTCACCCCACTGCCTATCTTCATAAATACAGCTTACCCTGGAATGAAGCCACACATTCAATTGTTTATTGTCTTTGGCAGCTTTTACCCGGCCCGATGGCTGAGATGAGTAATCAGGACAAAGGCCGCACGGCCTGCGGAGTCCAAAATATTTACTACTTGGCTCTCGACAGAAAATATTTTCAGTCCCTGTGTCCCTGGTGGCTAAAGTAGCTTTGAATGCTAATGAAATCATCAGAAGCAAAATGCTGACAACCAACGCATTAACTATAATTCTAGATGAGCTATCACATTGGGTATTTTGCTATACGTTGGGAGATTTCAGTATTGTTTTATATCCCCCACCTCTTTGTTGTTCCAGAGGATTTTACCTCATGAAAAGAACTTAGAGAACGAGCTTTGGTTTGAATCCCTCCTCACCCACCACTCACTGGCTTTGTGGCATCTTGGATGAATTACGGCCTTTCTTAGCTTCAGTTTCCTCCCTGGCAGAATGGAGTGGTGTTAGGTATCTGATGGGTAGTCTAGGAAGCAGACACCAAGATGGTGTACTAGATGTACAAGAGGCACCTACAAGTATGAAGGGAAAGGGGGAGGGGTTGTCTTCAGATGACAAGGCAGGTTGGACATCTGTGATGAGAAAGAAGGAAGGAGGGAAGGGACTTGAGTGAGAGGCGTCTTGGCCTGATCTGTGGGAAGTCCCCGACCAAAGATTGCCCCTTAGAAGAAGAAGCCATGTAACGAAGCATCCCACATCTCAGTCCCTTAGAACAACAATGATTCTTCACATCTCATTATTTTGTGGGTCAGAGATTTGGGCAGAGTTCAGCTGGGGGATTCTTCTGCTCCAAGCGATGTTGATTAGGGTTAGCAAGTGGCCAGTGTGCCTTGACAGGTCCAAGGCAGCTTTATTCATAAGCCTGGAAGCTTGTGGGGATGGCTGAAAGGCTGGGCTCAGCTGGGCCTCTCTCTATGAAGTCTTCCTCATGGTCACTTCCACAGGAGAACCTGACTTCTTACAGCTCAAGGCTCAAAAACAAAAGCCCCCTGAGGCAAGAAACAAGCTGTAGTCTTTTCATTGCTTCTGTGTATTCTATTGGCTAGAGGCATCGCAAGTCTATCCAGGTTTAATGGGGGAAGAGAATCAAAGGATGTATGTCTATTTGCAGTTCACTGCAGCACTTACGAGTGCTAGCGTCATGAAACATGCAATGGTTATGAAGCACTTGTCGTGGAGAATGGCACAGAGGAGGTGCCCATCAAATAGCCATTGCCAGTCTCCTCTCTCTCTTTTTTTTTTTTTTTTTTTTTTTTTTAAGATTTTTGCCATCGGGTGTGTGTGCTTGCTGGAGAGAAACAAACAGAGATAGAGAGAGAAGGAAAGTGAGAAATCACCCCACAGGAGGCATGGTCATGTTACGGTCCCTTCTCCTTTCTCCTCTTGGGATTTTGGGTATGTATGCACATGTGCCTGGCAGGTTTTTCAAGCCGCTAGGTCTAGGACTCGAACTGTGGAGTTGGCCATGTGGGATTCAGCACCTTAAATACCACGGCACCTGCTGGCTCACATACACTCGCTCTCTTTTTTAATAAGCTCGAGGGCTTGTGTGATTGCATGTGAGACAGAGAGAGGGGGAGAGAAAAAGTGTCTCCCCCAATGAGATATGGCCATGCCACAGTCCCTTCCCCATTTCTCCATCCCACTGAGATTTAGGGCATGCATTCACACATGCCTGACATGTTTTTCAAGCTGCGGGAGCCAGGATTCAAACTGTGAGGTTAGCTATGTGGAATCCAGCTTCTCTAACCATGAGGCAACAGGACCAGTCCAGGAGCTGCCACTCCGAATGTTTTCCCTCATTATCATTACTGCTGCTACTGTCACCCCCAGTTGCCCTACAGATGCAGTCTTGTCCCAGAGATGCCAGAGAGAGGCTGGTTGACACCGTGAGGCTTCTCGTACTGCACCCACTCTCCTTTTCCAGCCTCCTATGAAGTAGTCATTGGCCTCCCCTCCCTTCCTCAGCTCAGGACTGTCTGTCTTTCTGCAGGTGTGATGGACCTGAGCTTTGAGGCTGAGAGTCCTCTGGCACCCCCCACTGAACTCCTGGAGAGACTGCCCAGCTACGACTGGCTTCTTCAAAGGGACCGTAAGTCTTGGTTCCTGTGCCCTCGTCCGGGCTCTTGGGTCTGGTAGGGATGTCTCTGGAATGGGCTGGGGTTGAGCCTCCCTTCCCTTGGAGGGTCCTGGGGAGCCCCTTTCATGGTGGGGTGAGGAAGGGAGAAGACGCGGCATCGGCCCTGTGTCTACGAGCGTCCGTTTACCATGACCGTGCCCACCTAGCAGCTGAGCGATGCCGGTCTCAGGACTGCCCCTCTTTTGCATTAGATGCGCCAGATGAGTCGTCCTGCTTCTCTGCCCTCACATTCCAGCAGTCTCCCCCTCTCTCACCCCACACATGGTTGGGCCTTTGAGCTGTCCAGCTCCTGACTCCTTCCTTCTCCTCCAGGACAGCAGATCTTCTTCCCACCTTTGGAGGCCCTGGGAAGACCCCAGGAACAAAGGTCCTGGTCCTCGTTCCTGGAACACAGGTGAGTTGCAGATTGTGGTCCGAGACCTCCGTGCATTTGACACACCCTGTAGGTCCCATGAGGGCCCTTTATGAGGGTCTCTGCCCTGACAGTGTGTCGGGCCAGTCCTGCTGGAGTGGATTCTCCAGGGTCTGGGCCTGGGCATCTGCAGGTTATCAGACTCTTCAGGTTGCTTGACTAGCATGCCAGGGCTGAAAACCACAGTCCGGAGCAGGTTTGCAAACCACTGCTACCCCCCCATCACCGTGGCCCAAATTCAGCCCACTCCCCGTTGTCTGTAAGTCAAGTTGATCAGAACACAGACGCGCTTGTTCATGCGTGTGTCATCTGTGATTCTATGAGATAGCTCACAAAGCTATCATTTTTCCTAGCTGGACCTTCACAGTAAAAATGTGCTGACCCCTGGTCTAGATCCCCCGAAGGGGCCCACACCCTTGGTTTGGAGAGGACCCAGGCAGAGCTCGGGGTTTCCAGCCAGATCTTTGCAAAGAGAAGGTGGAGCTGCTTGCTCTCCAGCCGGCTTTCAGCTAGGAGGCCCTGGCCTGTCTGACAGTCTCCTGGGTGCTCCTGGCCTCTCTGCTGCCAGGAGCCTCTTTCCTTCTCCTCCCTGACTGCCATCCTTCCATGCCCAGGGCAGACCCCTTTCTCTGTGGAGTTGCATTGGCTAATTTGGCCCACAGCCTCCCTCGTGGTGTCACCCACATTGGAAGGCACACAGGGCCCCCTGTACCATGCTGGGCAGGTGCTGGAGACAGAAGGTGTGAGAGCCAGGGTAGAATGGTTCAGTAGGGTTGCTGGGAGAGATCAGGGAAAATATGGGGACTGGGGAGGGCTTCCTATGGGGATGGCATGACCTTAGCAAAGGGGAGTTTTCCAGGAGGAGGGGAGGAGTCCAGAGAGTGAGGCCTGAGGGCTGAGGAAGGGGGCTGAGGAAGGGCACTGAGCCTGCCTCCCCCCCCCCCCCGCCCTCAGGGGAGCCCCTATGGCACTGCTGCTGGCTGGACCTCC